TCTGTAACAAGTAATTAGGTTTCCTTGCTTAATTCCATCAGATTAGGATTTGTTCTTGTATTCCCTTTCTCAATTCACCAGTTCTCTGCAACAACTAATTATGTTTTACTTGCTTTTATCAAATTAGCGTTGTTCTTGATTTCCTTCTCTCAATTTACGATTCCTGATTATTAATTGCTTGCTTTCTCTCCTTTCCAGTTTCGAGTATATTCAGGCGATCTTCTAAAATGGATCCTTCAAAGCTCATTGAGATCTGGAAATTCTACTTCAACATAGAGTTTGATAAAGCTTTGAATCTACTGAACCCGATGATTTAGGATAATTACTTAGATACAGTTATGTGCATGTTTATAATGCATTCATCAACTATATTCTTGGTGATCATATATGTATATTTTGGTCATACTTCTGGTTTTGTAAATTTGTGCCTTTGGCAATTATCGACTTATTGTACCGAACTCTTTTTTAATTCCTATATTTATCCTTTATGAACAACTGTGGAGGCATATGATATTGCAATTACACTTGAGGCACAAAATGTTGTTGCAATGCACATTCTAAAAGGGTTCGTATAACATTAGTTTTTCTCGTTATGCACGACCGAACTCTTTTACCTATTGTTAATGATTCCAGATTATCTCTGAGTAAGTTAGGAAACAAGGCTGATTCTAATGCAGAATGGATTGTGATAGTAGATATAAACTTCCTTCTTTTGCTATTTGTAAAAGAAAAATTCTTTCTCTGTAATGTGTTTTTTGTGTGTATCTTAATCTTTATTTTAAGTATTTACATGAACTTCCTTTTCACCGAAAAACAATAACTAGACAACTGAATCATGAATCGCAAATCACAACCCATATATCGAACGCAGTAGGTGAACATAAAATGATAAGTCCACTTAAATGTTGAATGAGGGATATAATGAATCCAAAATCGAGATTAACACATTCACCAGCTGGTTGCTTCTTCAATCTGTACAATAATTACTGTCAACCTGAGCGACATCAAAGTCCTATGTAAGTCTAACTTTCTTAGAGACCTCTTCCCAAGAGGTTCGAGATAAAACCATAGTGAGCCACTGAGGAGTGGATAATTCTGGAGAGTTCTAACCGCGTTAGCTTCAATGTTTTCCAACTGGTCCATATTCATTCCCATTTCTCTCCTACCAAAAGGATCTTGCATTGCTTTGTCAATTTCCATTTGTAAATCATCTAACCTTTTCTTGATCTTTCTCAACATGATCTTCAACCCATACAATATAACTTCTTCAGGATCTTTAATGCCATTTGCTTGGACAAAGTTATTGATGATAAGATAAGCTCATTATCTTCAAACTGCCATGTACCTACCAAGATGTTTACATGCATAGTAAATAAAAAGGAAAAGAGAAGCATACAAGAAAGAGATGAGAGTTCAGGAGAGAACCAACCGAGAGCTTCACATGAATTCATAATTGCCCTCAAATGGGCATTAAAATTTTCCACAACAATAGCAAAGTTCATGTAAACACCTAAAATAAAGATTAAGATGCACATAATATATACATCTAAGAAAAAGATTTTTCCTTTTCAAATAGCAAAAGAAGGAAGTTTACCTCTACTATCACAAAATATTGAATGTGCAATAAAAAATCTTCTGAATTTTTTTAGTTCAGCTCTTTCTAACCCTAGATATCAACGAACACCCAGGCAACGTCTTAAATCCCAATTCACATCCAGTTCACCGTTTCACGAAAGTTAAAGATTTAGAAAGCAGGTAGATATCAAGGTTCAAAGAAAACTAAATGACAATCCCGACCATGCCCCAAAATTCCCAATCACATAGTTCATATCTTGGATAAACATAGTTTGATATCTTCCCATCCCTCTACATAGAATAAATAAAGATTAGTAACTTTCAACGTAAATATAATTATAACTAGGAGTGATCATTTACACTAATGGTATGTGTTTTGTTTGATATTTGACCATAAACTATCTAGACAAATACTCAAATTATTTCGAGTATGCTTAGACATATTTTTTTGAGGGGAATGCTTAGAACATATTGAAAACATGATAAACACAAAATTACTAACAAAGAAATCCAACTAATAGCATATATGTTTACAAACAAAGTATTGCCTGTATAAATAGTCCATAAATAATATGTGAGTCGCTTCTAATGATACATACATAATAGGTCTTCTCCATAAAAAGCGATTGTACTTTGATGGATTTCAATGTATCCATTAAATATTATTTTCAATTTTTATCTTCTTTGTTGATCATGGCACGAATATATTAACGCATAATATAAGAATATTGACATATATTTTTGAATTTGTTTACCATTTTCAATAGAAATGAGTTAAATGAATTTAACTCTTTATTTTAAATAATGTTTATAAATCATTGTCATATAATTGTTCTTTGACGTTTCCATTCATTTCTCTAGTATAAATTGAGCAATGCATACTTAAGATGGTAGTGGACAAATAACTATCTTTATTATGTTTAACTATATATATTGAACCACATCAACTTTAGGGTTCAATATAGAGTGCAATTGCGGACAATTTTTTTCTCTAGAATTATTTAGTTATGACAGAACTCTAAACACATGAACGTTTGGAGCTATTGATGTTGGGAGGGACAAATTCGAGGTTTGAGCAGTGTCGTTAGCACTTGAGAATGACCACAATAAAAATATAAAAAACAAAGAGAGCTGGCCGATGATGAATTATAGATTGCACGGAGATGCAAATATTAGAAGCAGAATTGGAGAATCGCTCCAAAGTTGAACCCAAGTTCCATTTGCAGGCAACTTGTCAAAAAATATGATTGTTGAATACCTTCAAAGAGCTTCAATAAATGACTATAATAGACATTGGTATGAAGAAGAATTTGTCAATACTACCTCTCATCACAAAACTAAACAAACTAGGATGGAATGGGATGCTAACCACCTAATAGGTTAGCACCGTAATAACCCTCATCACCATTCGTTTATATTTCCGCTAATCTAAGGGTGGTTTTGATGGAAGGGTATTTTGCGTAGATATATATGTGATTACATTACATCCTTGAAAGAGACGTGTAAGATTTTTTAGGTGAGAAGCCCAATAACTGCTCCTCCCTTTTAGCCAATTTCCTTCTCTCTCTCTCTCTCTCTCTCTCTCTCTCTCTCTCACACACACACACACACACATACGATCTGGAGCCAATTTCTCTGTTCCCAACCCTCGCAATCTCCACCCTCTCCTCGAAGTAGCCATCCTTAGCCTCCCTCTCTCGCGCCGCCGTCGTCTGCAACAACATCTCCTGCGTCGCCGTACTACGCATCGGTGTTGCATGCTCCTCCTTTGCCACCGCTGACCTCATCTGTGTGGTTGTCTGCATTGGTTTCACCTGCGCCGCCTTTGCCTCCGCCACCCTCACCAGCGCCGTCGTCGTTTGCATCCTCCTCGCCTATTTCGTCTGCATTTGTCTAGCCTACGCCAACTAAACTATGGGGAGACTGAAGTTCTGCATTGGAAGCATTCAAATGGTTTAGAATTTCAGATACGGTATATCTCGCTCACTGTTTAGTTAGTTTTAGAGTGGTAGAGATTTTAAAAGATTAGTAGTGTTTCATCAGACTTAGTAGTATTTGTCAGCTGTTTTGTAGTACTGTTCTGTAATTCTTTTGAATGAAATATTTACACCGTGTTCTCTATTTTTAGTTGTGTTTTTCAGATCTACAATGGTTTTTTTATTGTTTGGGCATTTTTTGGTAGCGTTCTCCAATTTTTGTAGGATCTAGTAGTGTTTTTCATATCTATCATTTGTAGTGATTATGCAAGTAGTAGGGTTTGTAGTGTTTTAAGATCTATGGTTTTAGTTTTTATTTTTGGGTATTATTTTGATAGTGCTTTCTCATTTTTACAGAACCTTGTAGTGTTCTTCACATTTAACATTAGTAGTGATTCTTATGTAGTGATTATGTTGTAAACGTCTTCGGCGATATAATATTCCTCTAGGAAACACCATCTCCGTTCACTATCACAAATAAAAAAAATGGAGAATAAAAGTATAAAACAATTTCCCAGAATCAGAGAGGAGGCTAGAAAGAAAAAGACGAGGAAGAAAAAGGAAATTGGCTAAAATTCCCTATAAAAAAATACAAGCCGTTTATCCAGGGATCCCACAAAATCCTGCTACTATCACGAATAACGGAATAAATACAAAATTTAATATTTTTTTCTTCTATTCCTAATATATGCCCTTTTTTATGTTAGTTAGGATGGTGCTAACCCCCTATGAAGTTAGCACCCTAGCTTCTCCCAAACAAACTCAAATTTCACTTAATATGATTATTAATTAATGCTAAGTTAAGAGTTCCACATCTCTTTACATATTTAATACTGTAATTTGATATGAAATATTCGAATAGATGGTATTTGGTCCTCCATTTGTAAGATAGACATAAATTAAATTAATTATCAAAACTCGAAATAAAATAATTAAAAAATGAAAATCAAATTATTGAATACTAAAGAAAAACTTAAGGGAGACTTAATGTGCTAGCTAATCATCTTGAAAAAGTCATCTGCTTTCCAGATTTTTGCTTCTTATATACTTTTAATTTAATAAAAAAATAATTTTGTTTAGTTTAATTGGTTATATTTCTTAACTTTATCAGAAGAGACCCAAGTTAAAATATGATATATATTTTTTCTTAAGTAAGAAATAAACAATTGCAATGACGAATTTACCTTTATACTTTCGCTCTCATTGTAAGGAATTTGAAATCAGATAAAATATAGAGATGAATTATAGATGATAGATAGAGATAACTAATTCATCAAAATAAAGTAAAATCAGAAGACATGTTCAAATTATAAGATAAATGTGACTCCGTCATTCCTCTGACTCCGTTGCTGCCATCAATAACCTCCGCCATTGTGGCGATCGATAACTGTAGTAGGACTGTAGGAGGAAGAGCATTATGGTTTGTATGAATAAGATTTGTGTGAATCTATCTATCTATGAATTTTTTTTTTGTCTCAAGTAGTGACATAATTACTTTCTCCATAAAATATTTCAGCTATATCCCATGGAAAGCAACCAACAACTAAAGGTAATTAACGCATATAATTTGAGACTAAAACAATGAATGTAGCAAAACAATCATCACACAAACAATTTGCACTAGCTAGCTAAACCTAAATCAGCGGCGATCCCTGAGTCACCACTTAGAAGGGCTAGGAAGATCGTGAAGTTCATCAAACACATCGTCATCGTCGGCAGGGAAGTCTCCATCTTCATTCCCGCCGCCGCCAATCTTGCTGCCGGTTTTTTCCAAGAGCTTTTGTTCCCCAAGCTGATGATGATCATCAGGAACCATATCGTCATCACCATGATCTCCCGCCGCCGATCCAAATACGTCGAAGAAGAGAAAATTAGGGTCGTCTCCCAGTCTGGCCAGCATCTCCGGCGAGAACGCTATGAAGTCCTCCTCGATTTTTGGCGGGAACGAAGAACTGGACTCTGTCATCAGATCCCCTGTCTCGACTGGCGTCTCCGACGTTCTCAACATCGGCGGCTGCATAACCGCAATCCATTTATTATTATTGTTATTATCAATCATTATATCAAATTTACTATTAATTGTTTACAAATGAATGAAGAAAGAAAGAAGTGAATGGAAGTGACCTCTGGAAGGGAAATTAGATTCCCATAGGCAGAGGAGGAAGAACATGAAGTGGTGCGGAGGATCCTGGCGAGGCGCTTCTGGCGGCTGCTCCAGAAATTCTTGACGTCGTTATCGGTCCTGCCGGTAAAATGGGCCGCGATCTTGGCCCATTTGTTGCCGTACCGGGCCTGCAACTCGATCACCGCCCTCTCTTCCTCCTCTGTAAACTTGCATCCCCTGTTCCAATCAAGTAAACAAAAAGGAAAACAACTCTCAATTACACGTTTGATTACTCAGTAATCAAGAATGAGAAATTCTCCGTACGTTTTGAGGTTGGGTTGAAGCTTGTTGACCCAGCGGAGGCGGCAGGACTTGCCGGTGCGCTGCAGGAGGCCTTTGGATCGAATGGAGCTCCACTCGCGAGGTCCGTACTCGTCGACGTGCTTCATCAGCACTTGGTCTTCCTCTGCTTTCCATGTCCCTTTCCTCACCCTACTCTCCACATCCTTCCTCTTCTTCGTCTTCTTCTTCCCCGTCGCTGCTTCCATTGGTCTTCTCTGTTTATCTTCTCCTCCGATTACTACCTCTTCCTTACTTCATCGGACAGAACAGAGAGCCTACATTCTTCCAATCGCCGGGAAAATGCAGATCGACTGCGAAAATCGGAGATTGGGTTTGAATTTTATTATTATTATTATTATTATTTGCTGTTCCTTTTTCTTCTTATTCTAATATTCTTATTGCGGCTCTCGAGGGTATGTGTAGTAGTGACGGTTGAGCAGGGCAGTTAAAGTAGCGCCACTACCTTCTCCACGTTCCCTCACTCCCTAATTCAAAAAATTTCAAATAATAGGCTTAAGGGGTACATTAACATGTGGGCAGGTACACTGTAAGTTACCTGCGCACCACCGTAAATTCAGTTGATTAAATTTTTTTTTTCCTCAGGTACAGCGGAGCCTGACGGCTAGCCAAGCTCCGTGCACCTCCCTTTCCAATTTGATCGAACTCCCCTCCCACTAGATTGTGGGCCCTGCCGGTTGGCAAGATAATTCTAATTTTTTTTGTTAATTGTATATATTCATCTCTTTATGACAATATAATAAAATTTCAAAATTATAAGGATATCAAACTTATACAATTTGACAACTTAGTGAAAATATAAAGCTACAAAACTACTTGTGAAATTATAATTTCAAGACAAAAGGTTAATTACATGTGGCTAAAGTTTATGAGAAAATAAATGAAACAATGTTGGATGAAGTTCAAGTCTAGCTATGTTAGATTCTATAATAAATATTAGTATTGTGCTAATGCTCTTTGGGTTGGGGATTGTATGTGGTCGAATCTTCTTTTACTTAAAACTTCTTCCTATGGATCAAAATTAAATTAATAGGTCAAATGACATAATAACTGCTAACCGTCCTCCCAATTGTTAAAGACGAGTATCTAAAAAAAAAGGACGAGTAACCAAGTCACAAGATAAATTTATTAACGACGTGTGTCATAATTGGGTCGATGATAAGTTTGATATCGTTGGATTGTGTTTATGATAACATGATAGTGAGATTCATCGAAAAATTTGATGGAACCAAAATTTTAAAAAATAAGTGTGAAATACATCTTTGACATGTCCAACTCAACAACTTTTGTCATTGTTTTTTCCTTGGGACCATAACGACACCCTTAGTTGGGTCAATCAGTCTGATTCACTTTTAGCCCTGACCCCACAAAGAGCAACAACGTCAATCATTCTCCAACCTCTGTGTCGCAGAACACCTCTTAAGTTAATTACTTCACTTACTTATGGGTAAATTCAAAATATTTTAAATATAGTTATAAATTAATCAATGTAAAGGATAAAACAAAACTAATTCGGTCAAGGGCCGAGTAAGAGCTAGTTATAATATACAGGATAATAGAGCGGGGGAAATATGGAAATGAAGGGGAAAAGGCAAAATACACTTGTATAGTCAAAACTTTCGCATTTATGCCAATAATAGCCAAATTTAGAGAATTACCACTTATAGCCAGCTTTTAAGTTGATGTAGGACAAATATAGCCATTTCCGTTAGATACTTTAACGGTGTTATTAACACCGTCAACTTTTTTGACGGTTTGCTGACTAGCGCCAAATAAGCCGAAAGTGACACGCCATATATTAAAATTATTTAATATTTACACATCATAAATTAGTAAAAACAAATATTAATTTTTTCCTCCCCTTTCCCCGATTTCGTTTTAGGGTTTGTCCCCTGCGTACCGGCGATTGAAGCAACAATTCCTCCCCAAATTTGAAATTCCCCCCAAATAACAAAAAATAGACACGAGGTAGATTTTGAAGCTTCCCAAAATTACTGGGTTTGCCCCCTTCCTGCCGACGATTGAAGCGGCGATTCCTCCCTAAATTTTTCGCTGGGTAGATTTTGAAGTTTTCCCCAAATTTTCTCGTCGATTTGAAGTAGGGTAGATTTTGTGGCTTTCCCCATATTTCCCCCCAAATTTACCGCTGGGTAGATTTTGTGAAATCCTTCAAATCGGGTAACTGCATGGAAGTTGAGAGCGGGAAATATCGCTGCAGAAATCATCATCTCCGTCTTTGAGAAGATCTTCGCTGCCACATCACCTCCTTCCTCTTCAGAAGCGCTTTGTGCGCCAGGAATTTTGCCAAATCCAGTAATTTTGGGAAGCTTCAAGGGATTCCCCCCTCTCCAGAGCAACTTATTAGGGAAAAATTCAAACCTGAATTTCCCACCTTCTTCTCACAGCGAACCGGTGCCGTTGAAGGAAGGAGGACCACCTCAAGACGAAGCGACGCCGTTGCAGGAGACAATTAAACGATCATGGAGTGATGTCGTTTCTGGTGGAAATGGCAAACTTCCCACTTGATACCCAATCTTCTATTTCTCACTGTTTTTCCCTTTTCGGGTTGTACTTGCTTCAGACTCAAGCTTGTCTTCTTTACCCCTTTTGTAAGACACTGAACACCATCTCCACTTGCTATTTAAGCTGTGGATTGCAATGAATCAAACTAGGTTTTTCTCTTCCAACAGCAAAGTGTTGTTATGGTATCAGGCCAACTTACCTGCAGGTTTTTGGGGGGATTGTGTGAAACATGCTGTCTTCCTAATTAAAAGGGTTCCTACCATTGTCTTAGCAAACAAAACCCCTTTTGAACTCCTCCATTCTACCACACCAAACCTCAATGATCTTAAAGTCTTTGGTTGCCTGTGCTTTGCAAGCACCCTGTCCAATCACAGATCAAAATTTGACCCTAGGGCTAGGAAAGGAGTCTTCATTGGATACACTCCAGGCATTAAGGGATATAGAATCTATGACCTTGAAACTCATGACATTTTTGTATCAAGAGATGTCCAATTCTATGAGGGCCATTTTCCCTTTCAAACCTCTACTGATCTACCCTCCTCACCTGCTCCATATACCCAACCTACTCTCCCTGCCCTTTTTGATGATCCTAGCCCCTTGTATCAACCCAATCAACCTTCTCCTAGACCACCAGCTCCCCCTCAGTCTCCTACCTATGACAGTCCTGAGGATGATACCACCTCAGATTCATCATCCCCACCACCATCCCCTCCACCCTCTTCCCCCCAGCCTTCACCACCTCTCACTACTGTACCTCCTCAACCCCTACGAAAATCAACCAGACAAACCAGACCCCCTACCCATTTACAACAGTACCATTGCAACCTAATTCAGCAGACTTCTTCTTCCAGTCATCCTCCTATGCTGCATCCTCCAGGTATGACATATCCCCTCTCATCTGTCATTCAATATGATAATCTATCACCGTCCTATAGACATTTTGTACTCAGTATCTCCTCTCACAAGGAACCTGACACATATTCAGAAGCAATTCTATCCCCCTAATGGAATGCAGCCATGATAGATGAACTACATGCTCTTGACAAGAACCAAACATGGGATGTTGTTGAAAAGCCTGAAGGAGTCAGATTAATTGGAAACAAGTGGGTTTACAAAATTAAACTCCTACCTACTGGCAGTATAGAAAGATTCAAGGCCAGAGTTGTAGCTAAGGGTTATTCTCAGCAAGAGGGAGTTGACTACCAGGACACCTTTGCCCCAGTAGTCAAAATGACAACAGTTAGACTGTTTCTAGCCCTTGCTGCAGCACAAAAATGGCATGTCCATCAACTGGACATAAACAATGCCTTTCTACATGGTGATTTGGAGGAAACAGTTTACATGAAGCTACCCCAGGGTTACAAACCCCCACCAGGTATGATCAACCCTGTTTGCAGACTCAAGAAGTCCTTATATGGCCTAAAACAGGCTTCTCGCCAGTGGTTTTCCAAGCTGGCTGACACACTACATAACCAAGGCTATACTTCAAGTCAGGTTGACCATTCTCTCTTTTACAAATCTACTGAGCATTCTTACACCTGCATCCTTGTTTATGTCGATGATCTGGTCATTGGTGGAACTGACCTTAAAGAAATCAACAACCTCAAGTCTTATCTACATCATGAATTCAGCATTAAGGATATGGGTGAATTGAAGTTTTTTCTTGGCATTGAGGTTGCAAGAAGCAATAAAGGGATTCACATTTCACAGAGAAAGTACACACTGGAACTGTTACAAGATGCTGATGTTCTGGCTGCTAAGCCTGTTACAACCCCTATGGACTACAAATTGCATCTATCTGCTCATCATGATGATCCCTATCCAGATCCAGAGGCTTACAGGAGACTTTTAGGGAAGCTCATCTACCTAACAACTACAAGACCAGACATCAGCTATGCAACTCAACAAGTGAGCCAGTACATGTCCAATCCTTCTACAACACATTACAAAGCAGTGATTCGCATTCTAAAGTACCTGAAGTCTGCACCTTCAAATGGGATCTTCTTTCCTTCATCTTCTGCTATTCAGCTGAAAGCTTTCAGCGACTCTGACTGGGCTGCGTGCGTGGACACCCGCCGCTCAATTACTGGCTACTGCATCTATCTTGGGGACTCCCTGATTTCCTGGAAAAGCAAGAAGCAGACAACCATTTCCAGGTCTTCTTGCGAGGCCGAGTACCGTGCCCTTGCCCACACTGCTTCTGAGATACAATGGTTGCGATACCTTTTGCAGGACTTCAAGATTCCTCATCCGCAGCCTGCTCCCATCTACTGTGACAATCAATCCGCGATACACATCGCTGAGAATCCCACATTCCACGAACGAACTAAGCATATCGAGTTAGATTGCCATTTCGTTCGTGAGAAGCTTCAATCCAACACAATCAAGCTTCTTCATGTCTCCACTCTGCACCAGCTTGCTGACCTGTTCACAAAACCCCTTCCTCCATCGACATTTGCAGCTCTCTTCTCCAAGCTTGGAGTTCACAATCTGTGTCCTCCAGCTTGCGGGGGGGTATTAGGGAAAAATTCAAACCTGAATTTCCCACCTTCTTCTCACAGCGATCCGGTGCCGTTGAAGGAAGGAGGACCACCTCAAGACGAAGCGACGCCGTTGCAGGAGACAATTAAACGATCATGGAGTGATGTCGTTTCTGGTGGAAATGGCAAACTTCCCACTTGATACCCAATCTTCTATTTCTCACTGTTTTTCCCTTTTCGGGTTGTACTTGCTTCAGACTCAAGCTTGTCT